ACACTGAGGACTACACTTGCGGCTCTTGGGTTCTCTCCTTCTACTGCTGACCCGTCGCTGTTTCTACGCACCGACACTTCGCTGCCGCCGTTCTACATCCTCGTGTACGTCGACGACTTAGTCTTTGCCACTGCTGACACTGCGGCACTCGCCCACGTGAAGTCGGAGCTGCAGAAGAGACACACGTGCACAGACCTGGGTGAACTGACAAGCTATCTTGGCTTGCGGATCACCCGGGACAGAGCACGGCGCACCATCACCTTGACTCAGTCACACATGGTGCAGCAGGTCCTTCAGCGCTTCCGCTTCACGTACTCCTCGCCTCAGCCCACTCCTCTGCCTACCGGTCACTCGCTCTCAGCTCTGCCTTCGGATGAGTCCGTAGAGCCGAGTGGCCCGTATCCAGAGCTTGTGGGCTGCCTCATGTACCTGATGACCTGCACTCGACCTGACCTTGCATACCCTCTTAGCATCCTTGCACGCTATGTCGCTCCTGGCCGTCACCGGAAGGAGCACATGGATGCCGCTAAGAGGGTGTTACGCTACTTGTGCAGTACGTCGGGCATGGGGCTAGTGCTTGGAGGGCGAGACCGAGTTGTACTCACTGGGCACTCAGACGCTTCTTGGGCGGACGACCAGGCTACTCAGCGGTCGTCTCAGGGTTACACCTTCAGCCTTGGCTCTGGTTCAGTTTCTTGGCGTTCTACACGCTCTTCTTCTGTTCTCAGCTCCAGTTGTGAGGCTGAGATCTACGCCACAGCCATGGCGGCCCAGGAGCTACGCTGGCTCACCTACCTGCTGACCGACTTGGGAGAGTGGCCTCGTTCTCCTCCAGTGCTGTACGTCGACAACAAGGCTGCCATTGCCTTGTGTGAGGAGCACAGACTGGAGCACAGAACGAAGCATATCGCTCTGCGCTACTTCCTTGCTCGAGAGCTGCAGCAGCGCGGTCGGCTTCGTCTGCGTTACGTGGCCACTCGGGCCAACACTGCTGATGTGTTCACCAAGGCACTTCAGCCTTGTGACCATCAGCGTTTCTGTACTGTTCTAGGCCTTGTGCCTACTCTCCCTCACTTGCTCACTTCTTGACTCTGCTTGTACTGTGATCTCTATATATATACCTGCATGCTTACACTTGCTAGGTTGTGATCACTGTACCTCTTGTTATATTATCAAACTGCATGTGAACTGGTCTTGTGACCGCTTGCTTGTGCTCGGAATTTGTGTGGTATCCTTGAGATCCACCCTGAGCTTGTTTTGCCTTGCTTTGCTTTGACTGGTCTTGTGACCCCTTGCTCTCCCCCACTTCGCCTATGGGGGTGTGTCAAACATTATTCTTGTTATATTTGTGTAGGCTGTAGTGGGTTAGCCTATAGGGGGTTCACAACTCTATTTGTACCCTCACTTCTTTCTAGTCAAACACTTCTCTCATTCTAACACTCGGCACTCACCATGTGCCCGAGAAACTGCACCTCTTCAGGGCGAAGTCGCTCTTCGACATCTTCACGTAGAACTTGTTTTTCCGCAGGATCTCGAACACCTTTCGCAGATGCTCCACGTGCTCCTTCATGTTCTTGGAGTAGATGAGAATATCGTCCAGGTACACAACTACGCACTCGTACAACAGGGGCCGCAGGATATGGTTCATTTCCTCCTGGAACGTCGCTGGTGCATTGCAGAGTCCGAACGGCATCACCAAGTATTCGTAGGAGCCGTATCTGGTATGGAACGCCGTCTTGTGGATCGAGTTGTCCGCCATCTTGATCTGCCAGTAACCCGACCGTAGGTCCAGCTTCGAAAATTCTGTTGCACCACGCAGTTGGTCCAGTAGGTCGTCTATGCGCGGTATGGGGTATTTGTTTGTGATTGTCTGTTTGTTCAGTGCGCGGTATTCGATGCACATCCGTAGACTGCCGTCTGGTTTTGGAGTGAAGAGGACTGGTGCACCGTAGGGAGAGGTGGATGGGCGGATCAGTTGTCTGTCCAGTAGATCCTCTATCTGTTTCTTCATGTCTGTCAGTTCGGTCGGACTCAGTCGGTATGGTGCACGTGAGACGGGTTTCGCACCTGGTTCCTCCACGATCTCGTGCTCGTGGGTGCGTGCTGGAGGTACGCCTGTGGGTAGATCGTCGGGCATTATATCCTTGTACTGCTCCAAGACCTCCTTCACTGCTGCAGGTAGCTCCGTACTCAGCTTCTCTTCCTCTGCTGCTGCCATAACAGTGCTAAGTAACCCGTGTTACCCTCGTTCACTGATCGTTCCAACCGTGCCAGTGTCGTTTCAGGAACGCTCCCTGTATCCGTCCAGCTTCGCAGCTCCACTCATTTCCCGTTGTTGTAGAAGCGCGCCTTCCTACTGACCCAGTCGATCTCGGGGTTGAACCGCTTCAAGAAATCTCGCCCCAATATGAAATCTAATCCCTTGATGTTCGTGATCGGCAACGCCGGCTTCCACCTCAGCGCCCCTATGTGCAGCTGCAGTGATGCTTCGCCGTGGATGGGAAGTTTCGTACCGTCCACCATCGTTTGCCGAGAACTTGGTCTCCTCCGAAGATTCTCCAATTTTCTCCAACGTCCCGTGGTCGCACACCGAGTGAGACGCACCGCTATCCACCAGTGCTCGGAGGCGTCGCCCGCTGCAGATCACCTCGAGTAGTAGTGGTTGTTGCTGCTCCGAGTAACCGTAGATGGTCTCGCTTATAGGATCGTAGGATACGTCGAATAGATCATCCCTCGGTCCTGCGCTCGAAGCTGCTGACTCCATATCAGTTTCCAACTGAGTAGGGTTGGAAGGATTTATCTGAGGTCGATTCATCTTCGTCTTGGCCTGGAACCTTCCCTTAAGCCTTTGCAGCTGTGTAGGCTTCTCCTGTAGGCAATGGGGAGCCTTAACACTATGTTGCGGGAAGAGAATATTAACTCCTTGGAACGCACGACCCTTTTTAACGCTCCGTAGTGGTTTGCCCAACTTCTCAGGTACCTGAATAATGTCTGAAGGCTTTTTCTTGGCCTTAAAATCTCCCCTGAATTTTTTAAAGGCTTGAAAACCTCGAGAGGGAATATTCTTACTCTCGGGGGTGTTCGGCTGGAGTTTTCCGGTCGGTGCAGAGTCTTGTTTCGCGGAGCCTCCATTTGTCTCGGCGATTTCCCCTGTTGCCGGCCGGTCGTGACGTTTTAAATTCGCGCCATCATGATCTCCTTTTTTCGCCATCGTGGATGTCGCACTGTTGTTGCCCTGCAGCTCCGCTCGTGCCTTCTTCATTTTCCAACACGCCAAGAGTCGATGTCCTGCTGCGCCGCAAAATTCGCACTTCTCATATTTTATCGGCCGCTGCTTCGCGTCGATCTTGTCGATATCCATCGGGTCGGCGGTCGTGGGTGGTGCCGATCGCTTCGTGCCAAATGATCGGTTCGGCACGTGGCGTCGTGTCTCGGGTTCACATCGTCTCAGCGCATCGAATCTCTCTGCTGCACACACCATGTTGCGGTAGTTGTTGTTCGCGGCAATCACCTGACGACGGACTTCCATTTTTAGCCCCTCAGTGTACGCTTGGATTTTTTCCCCTTCGGTCAGGTCGGTAATTCAGTTGAAGAGGCTCTCCATCTGCTGCGTGTACTGTGTTACACTGCCGAACTGTTTATGCCGATGAATCTGCTGCCGCGCCATGTAGCTGGAGTTGATTGGTTCGAAACGTTGAATTGAAGCTTCCCGAAACTGCGTCCATGACCCCTCGCCTCGGATCTTATTGCTGTTGTAAATCCACTCGAGCGCAGGGCCTCGTAACAGTGTCGCTGCGAGCCGAATCCGCATTGCATCGTGTGTCGGAGTCGTACAGCCAACGGCCTCGAAGTAAATTTCGAGGGTCGCAATGAATCGACGGACGTCGGTGTCTCTAGCATTCGGATTGAATGTCTCCGGTAGCCTCGGACGTGCCGCCTCAAGATTCACTGTAGCCGCTGCCGCTGCTGCTGGGTGAAGTGTCGGTGTCGCCGCTGCTGCTGCTGACGTCGCTGCTGCATTCGCCGCTGCGTTCGCTGCTGCCGTGGCGACTGCTGACTGGCTCGCGAGAAGCTCCTCTATTCGCTGGAGTGCCGCTCGCGTCTGGTCCAGGCCGGTGTGTAACTCCGTAATCTTTCGTACGGAATTATCACCGTTTTCCTCCATTTGACGATTTACAGGAAGATTTGCGACGAAAATAATTGAATTCTAGGCGCTGGTCATCTTACTGTGAGTCGAATCGACTGTAAAAAATAACGAGCGCTGATTCTGTAGATCGCGTAGTTCTCCCTTAGTTGAAATTCACGTCCGATCTCGGCCGTTGAGAAGAAATTCGATCCGACGCTCCAAATTCCAACTTCTTTGGGCGAAATTCTCAGGGCCGTTGAGATTCGAATCGATCCGACGGTCGAAATTCCAACCTTTTCGCCATTGGACCTGAGGAGTGTTCGAAAACCGGTTCGAGGGGGACGTTTAAAAATAGCGCGGAACTGGTTTACGTACCCGAAATCGGCGCTTTCCGTCGTCGCCCCCGCGTCACGTGTAAACAGGCTCTGAGTACCAAGTGTGAGCATTTAGGATCGAGCTCAGAAAAGAGAATTGTAATTGAATGATTTACCTGGGTACAACACGAGGCTAATATAGAGTCTCGACACAAGGCGAGTTACCCAGGTGTTACGCGGATGTTCTGAGGGTCGCGAAGCGTCCCGAACAGGACCTTCCCGAACTCAGTAGAAAGCAATTCGGTGGAAACCGAATATGCTTGAGTTCGGTACACGTAACCTGGTTCGGTGCTATAACTATAATAAAATATAAGAATGCACCTAACCTAGGAAATCAAGCATATCTATGCATGATAAAGATAACCCAAGCTAGATATAGTGTAATAAATTCTAGGCAAGCTAGCAAAGCCAGCATAAGCCGTCGTACTCTCACAACCTGGTTTTAACTCCCGGTTCTGGATTCGTGAAATTTCCTTGTTGTTGAGACTCTTGTTCGTACCATGGCCGCGCGGAACGCCTCAGCTTTCCAGTTCACGAGCCCCTCAATCGACCACGAGTTCTGGAAGGACTTCAGCGAGGCCGATTGTACGTGGCTGTACGCGCCGCTGACGTCTTTGGGCCTAGATCACGATTTTTGGAAGGATTTCTCAGAGGAAGACTGCACGTGGCTGTCTGGCCCGCTGGGCTTCCCGGCGCCTGCAGACACATCCATCGATCATGCGTTCTGGGAGGACTACAGCGACGAGGAGCAGACGTGGCTGTACGTCCCGGGCGTCCGTTTCTGCGAGCCCGTTGTGACTCTCACGCTCGGAGCTGTCTCTGCTGCCAGCAGCACTGCGACCAGCAGCAGAAGCCGCAGCAGCGCCAGCAGCATCATCAGCAGCTGCAGCAACAGCGATGACAGCAGCGTTGCCAGCAGCAGAATCATTTGCATCACCAGCGGCAGCAGTAGCATCAGCAGCCGCAGCGCCGGCAGCAGCAGCTCGAAGCGTGGCAACAGCGCAGAGGCGTGCATGAGCAAGAGGCGGCAGCAGCGGCTGCACGCCGTTGCGGTGCGCGTGGGGCGGTTTAACGAGGACGAGCAGAGCACTACACGCTCCCCCCGTGCGTCGCTGGGCATCTCCCCGCTGCGACCCACCAAGCCCGTGAGTCAGCCGCGCAGCAACACGCCCACGCCCACGCACGTGATGGGCGCACGCGCTGCTGCCACCAGCGCTGCTGCGAACGTGAAGACCGTCGCTGTGAAGATCGCCGCTGTGAAGAGCGCTGCTGTGAAGAGTGTTGCTGTGAAGAATGTTGCTGTGGGGACTGTTCCAGTTATTCCTGCAGCAGCCAGCGGATCGTCAGCCAAGGCTACAGCGGCTGCTGCTGTGAAGCCTGTAGCTGCTGTGAAGATCGTGAAGCCTGCAGCTGCAGCAGCTAAAGGAGAGCCAGCCAAGGCCGCACGTGTGACGCCTGCAGCTTCTAAGAGTGTTGCTGTTAAGAGCAGCCCAGTGGGGTCGGTGGCAACAAAAGCAGCAGCAGAGAAGGCGAGGGAGCAGGGCAATGGGAGGGCAGCACACACGGCGGTGCGTGCAGCAGCAGCAGGGAAGGCGGCGTTAGGAGGGGTGGAGGCAGTAGGAGGGCGAGCTGCAGGTGTGGGGTCGGGTTCAGGGCGTGGCGGCGGTAGTGGGACTCTAATCCCTAAGCCTGGGCAGAGCAGGGCAGCGCACACGGTTGCAGCGGCTAAGGTAGTGCAGGCTGCGCCTCACAGCACTCGTAAACCGGCTGCTCCAGCAGCAGCAGTGGCCGCCACTCGCATTCCCACGCCACGCCCCTCAACAGCCAGTGGCATTCCCAAGCCGCACAGCGCAGCACCCAAGGGAAGTAGTGAACGGTGATGAAGCAGCAGCATTAGTAGCATTAGCACAGTAGAAGGCAGCAGATCTAGAGGCATTGCCATGGAATGTGGAGGGAGGCGATTTGCGGGTGGGATGAGCATGGCTGGTGGGGGCTGGTGGCAGGCGCATGGCGGGACTTACCCCTTTTTGCACCCTGCTTGCAGGGTGTTGTGGGAGAGATGGCAGGAGAGGTGGAGGCATGTGGCCAGCTGGCTGGAGGGTGGTCTGTGCTGTGGGGAGGCTGGTGGCTCGGCATGGCCATTGATCTGCTGCAATAGAGTTCACGGTCTTAGCACTAGCTAGGATAGTTTGGTAGTTGTGGTCTTAGCATCTTGTAACTATTTCTATTGCAAAGATCAGATGTGGTTTCACTCTCTTGTACTAGCTGGTGTTGGTGGAATGGAGAAGTGAAGCAGCAGGAGGTGAGCGTGGAGTGGCTTGAAGTTGGGTCGTCATTGTTTGGTATCTTGCTTTTGCCATTCTCCCCGGCCCCAATTCTGTTCCATTTCTGCCCAATGCCTTTCGTGCACCATCTTCCCAGTCGGTTTCCTGTTGCCTCCCCTCTGTCATTTTTCCATTTCCCCTTTTCCACAGCCACCTCCCTCTTTGCCATCTTTCCCATTGCCGTGCTTCCACTCCCATCATGGCATGCAACTGTCATGTTCCCATTGTCATGCTTCCTCTCTCATCATGCAAGTGTGATGCTCCCAGTGGCAAGATATGGCATGGATATGGTGTTTTGGGGTAGTAGTAGTGGCATATCATGCTGTTTTCATGGTATCGTCATTTTCCACTACTCATACCCCCCCATGTTACCATACAACTGCCATGATCCCGCTGTCATCTCCCCACTTTCAATCTCCCTCTGTCATGTTTCCCCTCACAGATTATGTCCACACCACACTGTCCATCCCCCATTTCCCTGTACGACTGCCGTTTATTTTTGTCTCACTTTCACACCTGGTGTGATGAGGCGGATTTTGAGTCTCAATCAATCTATCAATCCCATATGAGCTGCCTTAGGAATATCAAAATCAACCCTTCTCTTAACTTCCCTCTGTTGGTTTTGCCAGTGTCGTTTTCCTTTGCCAGATTCTGATCTCACTTCATTTCTCCCATTTTCAATCTTTCTGTGAAGTTTCTCCTTCAGTCATGCTACTCACTGCCAGGTTCCCCACTGCCAGATTCCCCACTGTCCTTCCCCCCAACCATTTATTCCAATCAACCCGTCTTCCCCTTGCATATGAGCTAACGCAAGGAAAAGCCATTCCTCTCCCCTCCCTTACTCCCCCATCAATCCCCCCATCGCAATAGTTTCTTCTGCCATTCAGTCCGGCATATCTGCTAGTCATGCATTCTGGCATGTCAAATCATGCTAGTTGCCTGCTCATGCCTTCTATCTCAAGTGTTCATGTCATGCCTCCCATTTCATTCCCCATACACTGTAGCCATTTTTCCGGAGTCATCTCTCTTTCATTCCCAGCACTTATTCTCCTGATAGCATTCTGATTATCCTATCCGCATAATCCCATTTTTTCCAACAAGTTTTCGTATTTCCAATCATCTTTTCACTCCCATTGTTCCAGCATATCATATTTTGTTAACTGCTAATTGTCAGTCTCCCATTGTTAACGCTTTCATTCGCTCAGTCCTCTTCAATTATTTGCTTAGTCCCCTTCAATTCTCAGTCACAATTTTCCTTTTGTCAAGTCTTCTCATGTTCCTGCATCTTTACGAGTCAACTACAAGTCGCTATTTTTTCCGGCCACTTCTACCCTGCCAGCCAGCCTCCCATAGCCGGGTTCACTCAACTTTCCAATGCCTACTTTCTCTTTTACAGTTTCACATTCAACTTTTGATTAGCATTGTTCGCTCATCTTCTACTGTTGTTTGGTGAGTCTCTTCTTTTGTCGTGCCAATTTCACTCTCATTGTCACCTGTCTTGCTGCCAAGTTCACACTGCCACTTTCTCAATAGCTTGGGAGTGTGAACAAGTTTCATCCTGTCCAGTCAGATTGCCGTTGTCAGTTGCAAGTCCATTTCTCACTGCCATTTTTCAGTGCCCTTTTCTTCATTGTCATTTCCCTCCTCCCCCAGCCTTTCCATTGCATGTCTGCCATTCTTGCCGCATGCACACGTGGCACCATGGGAGCCAGCCAGGCCCACACCCTCACAGCCGTGCTGCCTGCCATCGCCCATCCCTGGCCCTTCCACCCACCTCGCCCATACCCTCTGCATGCCCCACCCATTCCATGATCACCGTTCCCCACCCATGCTCTGAGAAGACTTTAAAACCAGGGTCTCACGTAAGGAAAATTGTCATCAACTGCAAAACAATTGATGCTGAGTCACCCTGTTTGAGGTGGCGAAGTCTAGGGATTAGTCTGGCAATTGACTGTGCGACACCTGACGTTTTTGCCTCTGAAGCAATCGCAAAACATTTCCCTGGTACATGAGACTTTCGGGATGCTCGCACAAATTGCTGGTGTTCTAGCTTTGGCACCGAACCAATTTCCGTGTCTGGTTGGTTCGGACACAAACTGCAATTTGTGTTTCCTTCGCACCCCTCGCCACACCCCTCGTCATTCTTTACACCTCGCCATCCAATCCTAACCAAGGTCAAGTCATCAACTGCAAAACAATTGATCTACATGAGACCCTGGTTTTAAGCCCACACTGGGTCAATGCACACTCGTTTTCTCCAGAGCCCCTTTCCTACCTGTAGTCTTCCCACTGTCATGTTCATCTTGTTAATGTCAATCTGAAACTGACATCGTCCTATCATCTTCCCATTGTCATGTTCTTTTTGTCAGTATCAGATTGACATCATCCCATTTCCATTGTCATGTTCTTAATGTCACTATCAAATTGACATCATCCCGTTATCATCTTCCCATGGTCATCCCATTATCATCTTACCATTGCCATGTTCTTAATGTCATTGTCAGATTCCCATCATCCCGCTGTCATTGTCTCATTGTCATAATTCCAGCAGCACCACTTCACGATCCTCATCCCACTGCCATGCTCCCGTTGCAATCTCCCCGCACCCAGCTTCCCATGGCCATCAGTCCATTCTCACTCCTCTGAACCCCATGTCATCTTTCCGTTGCTGTCTTTCCACTTCCTGCTGTCGCCTTCTTTGTGTTAACCTTCCAATCCAATGTCACTATATCCCAGAGCTTTACCATTCTCAACTTTCCATTGCCAGTTTTCCATCCTCTTTCGCACAACGGTCAAAACCTCTGTGACTTGGACGCGTGTTTTCCCCATTTCACAGCATGGCTACTGGAGCATTGGGTTTGTGTGCCTTGTACTGGATGGCTTGAGTTATAGGAATTTGATGGTGAACCTCCACAAACACATCCCTGGCCTGGAGTGGTCTCGAGCAACAAAACGATACATGTAGCTACAAGCATGGCCAAGTGAGGTTCACATCTCTGGAGAAAGTTGCGCTTGCACTTGTCTGGTGATTTTGGTTTTTTTCTGTGAGTGCAAGGAGAGTGCTGAGCTATCTGGTTGGAATGTTTATCATGTGAGGGATACGTAATTTGTTTTAGACATCGCATTGCACCGTACCCCAACTTCGCTCCGGCTGCTGTCTGTCCATCTCTGCACTCATCATTAATCAAATGACGCCCGTTGCGCCATCATATCATCACCTCAACTCAACCCGATGATATGCTAAGCGGGCGGGTCCAACTTTGCACACTCCCATTTTTTTCGTTATTTTTACGTCAATGCACTAGTCAAACTTGACTGTACCCCAGGGCGAACTCCAAACATTTCCTGTCCAGTTTCGAGTGCACAATTCGGACTTTTGACAAGGTACAGTAATGCTGCGGGGTACAGTGCCTGGGATGAGCGGTTACCCAATAAAGCGAGGTTTTTTGCACCTGTGACGGAGGGGGGGATTCATTGGCGAAAACAAAATAGCGAAAATGGGCGTTACCTTTTGGCATGTTTGACGCGAAACGAGTTTGACGTGAACCTTCGGACGTGTTCTGCACGTCCCCGGGCACGTTTCCGTGATGTCATCATACATGTACAGTCTCGCGTCAAATGGATTCTGGTACGTTTGTTGTTCTGTTACATGCCCAAATGTGGTAACTGAGCTGAAAGGTTACCGTACATGTGCAAAGTTGGACCCGCCCTCAGCAGCCAGCCCGCTGAGCATATCATCACCTCAACTCAACCAGCATCCACCGAATCGCGCGTCGCTCGTCGACCAGCTCATGTTTAGCCAGGCCTCTGCGGCTCTGCGTATTAACGGCTTGGCGGGGCTTAGCGCGGAGGAGAAGCGGAGTGGAAATGTTGAGCGCGATGAGGTCTTCGCGGAGAGCGGAGCAGAGTGGAAGCAGTGACGCGCCCACGCGGAGAATCAATGTTAAGCGCGCTGTTATGGGGGAAGGTTGAAGGGCTTTCCGCTAGCGGCTAGCGCGATGGAGTGAAGCGTTAGCGCGATGCCGGACGAGTCGATTTTGCCGCGCGTTTCGGCGCCTCAGCCGCCCGCGCGGAGCACCCCGCACGATACTAGGAGTGCGCAGAAAATTCGCATACGCGCCCGCTCTCAGACGTGCATCCCCTTTCGAGACTCGTAGCGGTATGCCATGTGCGAATCTTTCGCATACCAACGGATCCATGACCCGTCCCCATTCGCCCCATGCCTTGTCCGCACCCTCCTCCCCACTTTCCTCCTCGCTCTACGCGTGGGGGATTTCGGCGGGGCGAGCGCGGGGGCGCGCCTGGAGAGCAGCCCTTCTCTTCTCGCGCACGTCTCCACCCTCTCGTCGCACATTCGCACCTCCCACCTCTCTTTGCTTATCCGCTCCCCACCCGCGCTCTCCGCGTGCCGCGCAGCTGCTTCCCGCCGGTTGCGCGTGCTGCTCCCCCCGTCCGCCTCTGCTTGACGCCGCGGGCAGTGCGGGTTTGCGCGAGCGCAGGGGCCGCGGCGGGTGGAGGCGGAAGGTGGTCGCGGGGGACCGCTAAGGGCGGATGGAAAGTGCGCGGGCGGGGTGGAAGCGCGGATGGGAACGTGCGACAGCGGCGGGGCGGGGAGCACTGAGGGGCGGGGTTGAAGTGCGCCCTTCCTCTACAAACGCCCTTGGTAGGCGCTTAGGAACACCCCCCAGGCACTGGGGAAGGGAAGGGTGAAAGGGCGCGAGGGGGGATGGGCGCGAGGGGGGATGGGCGCGAGGGGGGATGGGCGCGAGGGGGGATGGGCGCGAGGGGGGATGGGCGCGAGGCGGGATGGGCGCGAGGGGGGATGGGCGCGATGCGGGATGGGCGCAAGGGGGGCGATGGCAGTGGTGGCATTGGGATGCATTCCTGCCGAAGCAGATAGCAGCAGGCTGGCAAGCTAATTGGGAGGAGGGGCTAACAAGGGAGGGACGAGCAGTAGAGGTGCGAGCAGGGGGGTGTGACTCTGGGATGTGTGAGTATGGGAGGTGCGAGCATGGGAGGTGCTAGTTTGGGAGGTGTGAGTATGGGAGGTGTTAGTATGGGAGGTGTGAGTAATGGAGGTGTGAGTATGAGTCAACCTATGCATGCCAGCCAACCGGTGATGGCAGCATACAGGCAAGCCAATTGAGGTAGGGTGAGCAATGGAGGGGCGAGCATGGGAGGTGTGAGTATGGGTGGGAGGTGTGAGTATGGGAGGTGTGAGTATGGGTGGGAGGTGTGAGTATGGGAGGTGTGGATATGGGAGGTATGAGTATGGGAGGTGTGAGTATGGGAGAAGTGAGTATGGGATGTGTGAGTATGAGTATGGGGGTGTGAGTATGAGAAGAGTGAGGGCACGGTGGTTGGAGCATGAGACATGTCACAGGACGTGCGCGATGGGGTGGGAGTGTCAAAAAGAAAGAGGGTGGAAGAATGAGAGGCAATTTTTATGCAGGGGAGGCTGTGACGAATGGAGAAGAGGTTTGGGAAACAGGCAAGTGGCATGTGGTGCCGGATGGATGGATGGATTTGTTGCTGTGGGTTGCCATTTCATGCAACTTTCCATTCCCACTTCCCCAGCCCACTTCCCTGCCATTGCACTTTATAGTGCAATGCTTTCCCCTAACTTCCTATTTCCACTTTCTCAGTCATGTTTGCACTTCCAATTCTGAGTCTACTCATATTGTCTTTTGTTCTATCATCTTCACTGTCATTTTCACTGCCTACTTCCAGTACCGTTTTTGCAAGAACTCTAATTATTTTGAAAGAATCTGCCCAACCATCTGCTCATTTGTCGCCATTGTTTTTACGTGCATACCATGGCAGGCGCAGGCATGGCATCTCCCTATGAAGGAACGCTGGCCCACACCATGCCACCATGGAATTTGTGATGGCAGCACTCGGTGTTGAGCGACTCAATGCTGTATAATGAATAACCTTCATTGATGCCGGTGTCCTTCCTGCTGGCTGCTATTGACCACGCATGTGACTGTCTTGACTCTCGCTGACTCAACCTACCAGCCCCCGCTTCTCTCTTTTGGCAGGCTCTGCGGTCTTTCCATGAGCTCGCCCCGTCGTCCTGCCCTCGACATTCAATTCTGTCAGGTTTACTCTCAGTTGTGGAAACTCTAGTTTTGGTGTGTGAAGTGCATAGGAGGGAACCTAATGGATGACACGTCGAATATATATATTTCGACGTCCTAGGCAAGGGTTGTACATCTATAGGTAGTGGTGTGTATTATCCGCATGGAAAGTGCTACGAGTTGAGCCCGCATAACAGCACCATCTATTATTTGAGCTTGTGTTTTTATCACGGTATTTGCAACAAATATTATTCTAAGAGAGTTGATGTGATGGTTGACTACCAATCAATTTTTGCGAAATACGACCCTAATATCTCCTACTGGTACTAACCTTTGGTGTAACAGATCTGAACTTTGATTGGTTTCGCCTACAACCTTCTCACACCTCTCGACCTTGCCGCAGCTTACTGCAGGACCAAAACGAAGGCCTGCGACCAATCCCAAGACCCTAACGCGAAACCCGCTTAGCCGCAGCGCGTCGTAGCCCTAACAACGGGATAGATTAGCCCAGGTCGCGTCAGTGATTTCGTCATCAGCCCATGGCGTCCAAACGCCATGTCATTCCTCCCAGGTCAGAGGGCTAACATGAGTCAGATTCGCATAGCTATGACGTGGTACTGCAAAGCCCAGGTGTTACTGTCTTACCCTCGTGCTTTCGAGGCCCAGAACTCTCCACGGCAGCATTCCACTCTCTCAAAATTGTCGGCTCGGCTGAACCACCCGTGGAGAGTTCTCATAACATATCGATCGATAGCCACGTCTACTGCGGGCATTGCGGGAACTTCGGGAAGTGCTTTGTTTGCTTCGGACGCCATCGGGTCCGCCAAACCCACATTTTCCGTGGCAAACGAACAAGCACCTAAGCTAAATCACAGCCTCGGAACCAAACCAAACGGAACTCCCACTTTTGGTTACCGCCGTCAGCTAGAGCGGCTCGTCACTGCTCATCAGCATCCTGTCAGAACCAGAACTGCCCTCGTAGTCACAAATACAAACCCCCCTCTGACAGCCATTTCATTTCAGTTGAATCACATCGTTCTTTACTCACACCGCTCGTTGCTACCCCCTTCCTCAAGCCTCGAAGCTTTCTTGGCATCTGACTGCTGATGGCCGTGAAAACCCTCTCTGCGTGCAGCAAGGCTGACCCTGACGACCTCTTCTACTGGGAAGAGGACCACGAATGCGTTCCAGCAGGACTGAAACGCAATTACCTTCCTGCTGCCTCCGCTTCCGCCTCTCCCAGCTGGAGCGATGCAGCACGCAAGCGATCCACGCCTGCTGCTGCGGCTGCTGCTGCTCCAAGTGCCAAAAAGGCACGAATTTCCGAGGATTCTGAAGACGAATTCTCGTATATGATGTCAGAATGTTATAATTGTCTAGCCTGCAGTGGGGTACTCTATAGCGAGTACAACCCAATTAGGGTTTCCTATATGTATGCCAACTGCTGCTAGTGCAAACCCTCCTTTCTTCATTCTTACTTTCTACTGCTAGTTCTGACATGGTATCAGAGCAGGTCGACCCTCCTGGGTCGATCCTGTGGGTGGGCCCACCACCTCATGCTTCCGCTGCTGTACTACTTGTCGCGCGCCTCGGTCGCGCGACGCCGCGCGGCAATTTTTTTTTAGGGTTTTCAGCCCGCCGTGCGCCCCGAGGCGCGCGGCGGTTTCCTACCGTGGGGGACCCGCGCGCGCCCCCGCCCTGTCCGTCGCGGCGCCCCGGGGGACACGTGCGCTGCCCCCGCTGCCCCGTTGGTGGTCGTGTCGCCCCGCCACCCCGTCGCGCCGCCCTGGGGAGCCGCGTGCGACCCCCCCCGCTGCCCCGTCGACCCTCGCGTCGACTCGCTGGACCCGCGCGCGGCATCCCGTCGACCGTCGCGTCGCCTCCGGGGACCCGCGCGCGACCCCCGTCGACCCTCTCGTCGCCCCCGGGGACCCGCGAGCCGCCCCTGGAGCCGTGCGCGACCCCCCCGCTGCCCCGTTGCGGCGCCTTGCAGGGCCGCGCGCGGCCCCTCGCTGCCCCATGGTGGCGCCCTGGGGGCCGCGCGCCTCCCCCCCTCGCCGTCCCCTGCGCTCCTACCCCGTGCCACCCGTTTTAGGGTTTGGGGGTGGGGAGTGTGAAGGTGGCGGTTGTGGGGGTGCCCGTTGTGTGCGCCGTCCCCTACTCCTCCTCCTCCTCCGTCTCCCGCTGCTGCAGCTGCCGCTCAGGGGGGTGTGTGTGTGGGGAGCCGAAGGAGTGGTGCTAGGGGGGTGAAGGGGGAGTGGAGCTAGGGGTGAAGCAGGGGGTGTGTGTCAGGGGGGGTGGGACTGTTTGGGGAGGCTGAGAGGAGGCTGCCGTCTTGTCGTCCGCAGCACCTGTAGTCCGGGGCGCTGTCCTGGTAGCCCAGAGAGCCTGCTGCGCCTGTCGCCCGTGGGTCCGTTGCTCCTGTAGCTCGTCGTAGCCCGTGAGCCAGTTACTCCAGTAGTCCGGGGCGCTGTCCCGGTAGCCACTGTGCCAGCCGCTCCTGTTGCCCGTGTGTCTGCAGCTTCAGCCGTCGTCTCCCATCTTCTCTCCTCTCACAGTCCCTCCTCCTCCTCACTTGCCCACTGTGACTACCACTAGCTTGCTCATTGTGCTGATTACACCCCACTTTGGCTATGGGGGTGTGTCAGAATGTTATAATTGTCTAGCCTGCAGTGGGGTACTCTATAGCGAGTACAACCCAATTAGGGTTTCCTATATGTATGCCAACTGCTGCTAGTGCAAACCCTCCTTTCTTCATTCTTACTTTCTACTGCTAGTTCTGACATATGAGCGAGTTGGACTTGCTCGAATTCCGTCAACGGTATTTACATGCCGAAAGCATCAACAGCAGTGCAGGGAACGTGTCCTTCCTGTCCAAGGACGAGTTTCTTGCTTCCACAGGCAAGAAATCGCCGTGGATTATGGTTGAAAAAACTGCTGCCAGTAAGAATGTTGTTAACAAGAGCAACAGGAGCGTGATGGTTTGCAGCTTCAGCACCAGCAATGCAAACAGCACGAGCTGCAGATCGGTCGTGCAGACCTCTGCGGAAACAAGCAGCACAAAAGAATTAGTGACAAAAAGCTCCAACAGAAACCAGGCCTCACAAAAACCGGTTCCCGAGGCTGCAGCATTCAGCTCTAAGAAATCAGCGGGGAAAGGGAAGAGCAGGAAGCAAGGTTCTCAAGCCCATGCTGTTGCCTGCCGTGTTGGGAGGATCCATGAGGACGCCCAACCTGTTGAGCCCAAGCAGCTCAGCCGTAGCTCTCCTGTTGGGCTCTCCAACCTGAGAAAAGCGTCTGCTGCTGTTGTCCCTGTTGAGGCTGCTGTTGCTGGAGTTGCTCCTAAGACCTCTGACAATGATAAGGATGATGCAGCAAAGGTAAAAATGGAAGGAGGAACAGCAGAAAAAACATCAAACATGAAGGCCAGAGGGACGAGGCGGATGAGGAGGTGGGTGAGTAGAGCTTGGTCAAGCATAGCCTTGAATAAGTGGCAAAATGGCAAGTAAGGTAAAGCTGGTGGTGGTGATGTGGATTGAAGGTGGTAGGGGTACACCCCCTTTTTTCCATCCTGCCTGGCAGGATGTTGTGGGAAAGATGAGAATGAATGGTGGAGGGAAAGAATGGATTGGGATGGTTGCCACTTTAGACTTGGTAATCATGTTTGTTTAGTAATCTTAATATCATGTCTGTTCTAGAAATTTCAATATATGCATAATCCTGCTCTGGTATGGATTAGGGTGTATGGAGGGCCTGGTATGGGTCAGGAATAAGTGTGATAGTTGAGAGTCTTGAGGGAGGTTGACCTTGTTTATTGTTCACACGGGTCTCATACCGTCTGATCAGAATATACACAACTGTCACCATATATGATTGAACAGAAAACCATTATCAATGCTGAATCACAATGATCTGAAGATGGAGCTATATATAAAGTCCAGGCCATAATGTCAAAAACACAGAGCAATGTTCAGGTTGGACACAACCACAATAGTGCTTTTCTTGTTCATACTATGTCTTAAACTTGACTTATGTTCCACTGTCATTTTCATACTATCATCATCCCGGTTCCCACTATCATCATGCAAATGCCATGTTCCTACTATCATCATCCCGCTGCCATTATCCCACTATCATCATCCCTTTGCCATGTTCTCAATATCATACCACTGCCATTTTGCCGGTTTTTTTCCTGTTGCTTCCCCTCTTTCCACCGTCATTTCTTCTCACGCTGGTGCTTTCTTTCAGTTTGCCTCTGTCAGTGTTTTTACATACTTGCATGCATTCGGTTACACTCCTGCTGCGTGCGTTCATCTGTGCATTCCTACCCATATGCCTAAGCTCATGATATGACTGAATCATCTGAATGTACTCATGAACTGAATGTATTATCCGAGTGTGTGATCCGAGTGGACTCATGATCTGAGTGTACTCATGATCCGAGTGTACTCATGATCCGAGTGTACTCATGATCCGAGTGTACTCATGATCCGAGTGTACTCATGATCCGGGTGTACTCATGATCCGAGTGTACTCATGATCCGAGTGTACTCATGATCCGAGTGTACTCATGATCCGAGTGTACTCATGATCCGAGTGTACTCATGATCTGAGTGTACTCATGATCTGAGTGTACTCATGATCTGAGTGTACTCATGATCTGAGTGTACTCATGATCTGAATGTTCATGATCTGAATGTTAATGATCTGAATGTTAATGATCTGAATGTTAATGATCTGAATGTTCATGATCTGAATGTACATGATCTGAATGTTCATGATCTGAATGTTCATGATCTGAATGTACTAATGATCTGAATGTTCATGATCTGAATGTTGTCATGACTGCGTGATATGCCTGTTTGCTCTTCCGCTTCGTATTCCCCAATAGTCATCGTGTATTCTTGCTCTATCATGATCTCAATACCATGCTTGCATTGTGATGTTCCCAGGGAAACTGGCAGAAAAGGTGGGTTGAGAAAGGAAGGTGGAGGGTTCAAGCAGGAGGAGAGGGGGAGAAGAGCAAGGGGGGAAAAGGGGGGGGAGGGAGGGGGGATGTTGCGAGGCTGACAGACGAGGCTTCTCCTCCCATAAATATTCTCCATGGACGAGGCTTCCAGAGTCTTCCTGTTGCCATTCGCGCGTATTCACCTTTCCAGTTTTAACTTTCAATCGCTTTCACGCCCGCTCCCATTTTGCCATTTTTCCAAACCACTTCTCGTTCTAATTGTAGAATATCACATCACATCTCCGTTTTCATGTTGTCCAATCAGCTTGCCAGTGCCAGTTCTCTTGTTAGCTTCCCCCATATTCCCTTATCCAGCCAGCTTGATGGTTGTGCTCATGGAATGGAGTATGGGTGTGCTCAGTTTTGAATGACATGGGGTGGGATATAGTGATGGGAGTGTGAGATGGGAAGAGGTGATGGGAGTGTGTGATGGGGTGAGGTGATGTGATCGGAGTGAGTGTAACATGGAATGTGGTAATGTGAGTGTGAGGGAGCGGTAAGGCACAAGAATTTCAGTTTGAAACTACCGTCGAAGGATGAGAGTGCGGAACAAAAAGGTTCAGTGACAATGTGCACCCTCAAGGGTAAACGGCATGCTGAACAGCATGTGCTCTTGCATTTTTCAGGCAGGATTGTTGCAAGACAACACATGAACCCATCCTGTATGTGTGTGTGTCCTACGGCAGTGCCACAGGCAGGGTTGGGGTTGCTCTTGCTCAGGCAAGAGGGCCTGGCTGTCGCTGCCACTGAGCCTAGGTGAAACCACATTAGGAAGCAACTGGTTTTCTTTGAGAGGCGTTCCACTTCAACACTAGCAGGTCGCGACCTCACCAGCTGCTGCTACAGTGCAGTCGCATGGGTGACAGCAGTCCAACATGTGTGTGGGTAAATCACTGGCGGATATTCTATTAACGTGCCGTGCAATGTCTCTGGAAGGTTTTAGGGCTGCTGTGTAATTGACTTACCAAAAGCAGTGTGATGCCCTTCCTGTGCTTGGCAACGTATTTATGCGTTTGCAACACACCTATATACACATACACGTACACGTGCTTCAGGCCCCCAAGGGAGTTGTGGTACCGGTACGGTATTTATGTCTAGCTGAGGCAAGGAGGGTGCGCATGTTGGCTCACACACTGTTCTCAACCTGCAACAAGGTGCTCGTTCATTGCTAGCTTGTGTTTCACATCACATGGCATCTTTCTGCATACAATACAATTCGTCCACAACAATGGCGTGTCTGGTATCCACGTGTCAGGTTAGGATTGGCTGTGTCGGGAGCCCATCTATTTGTTCCAAAGAACTCAGATACATCGCTGGAGTCCCTTGGAGTATTGGAGTTGATCACATTGAATAGGACTGACAGGGGCGGAGGGAGAAACAGGCGCGGATGGAAAGACACGGGCGGAAGGAGAGTGAAAGGTGTTGAATCTGGCCTTGCAGGTCAGGTCTGCTTGCCGGAGGTGCTTGGGGAGGAGCCATCAGCATGGTAGCAGTCAGTCAGCACGGGCGAGAGGGAAAAGGAGAGACCACGGGAGAGACGATGGGAGAGAAGACGGGAGAGCCAAGGGAATGGCTCTTGGTGGACCATGGCATTGCCAGCAGTGCTTCTGATTGCGCTTTGACGACAGAAATTTCCATCCAGTGCTGTACATTGATTATGAACCCTGAACGAAAAGTTTCCTGGCTGCAGCCGCCGACACTTTTACACAATCACGTACGCCCACCTTCGCCACACGCCCATCTCACACACACCACCCGCACTCTCATCCCACCCACACGCCCACCTCAATGACCCGTCTGTGCTGGGAGGGCGGTGGCACTGCCAGCGCTGCCGCCACCACGGCTGCCAGATCCTCCCTTGACACGCTGCCCCTCGTGGCGCCGCCCTCGTGCTGAGGGGATGGTGGGGGGAGACCTGATGAGACGAGACCATGGGGATTGGAAGAGGGGAGGAAGAGCACCACTGCCACATTCTCCTCCTGACAGTTAATTCCTTCACTGTGTCGATCTGACCTGATGTATGGGGGAGTGAGAGGAGAGAACTGCGGGGTGAGAGGCCCACAAGAGTTGCTGGACCTGCGTGCGTTATGGTGGGCAGCGGAGAGGAGAAGAGAGGACGAGAGGACGAGAGGAAAAAAGGAGTGGGAAGGTGGGGAGCTGAGTTAAGAGGGAAACAAGTTTCCACCACCTTCCCCCCTCGCACCACCGTGCACCCAAACCCCTGCCTCCGCGCCTCCCCGGCTGCTCACCTCCCCTCTCCCCGTCACCGCTTGCTGCTACAACTTTACGAGTACTGCCTCTGCCTCTGCCTCTGCCGCTGCTGCTAGTGGCGATGCGGACCACAGCAGCCCCGCCAGACCCGACGGGCGCGAGGAGGCTCCCAGCTGATGTGATGGAGGGCAGGGAGAGACGGGGAGAGTTGGGGAGAAACGGATGGGACAGAGAGGGCGCAGGTGGAGAGATGGGAGTGATCAAACGGCCAAGCTTATCGAAGAGGGTTGGGTGCTTTCTGAGTGGCGCTACAGGCGCCTCTTTCCATTCCAGTGGCACAAACACAGCTTCAGACAGTGCGCCTGGAATGATCAAAGCGACAGTTGAAATCAGCTGGTTTCGATCCGCTGCAAACTAAGTCTATCAGTACTAATCCGAAAAAGAGGGAAGTCGTAAGAAAAGTCTTTTAGTCAGAACGCCAGACACAATGGGCCCGGATGTTCGCGTGCGAACGCGTTTCGGCCAACTAAGGCCTTCATCAGCGCAAAGCGACTATGAAGCTGACTAAAAACGTAGGCTTCTGTGTCCGAACGAACCCACTTGTACCAGTTACATAACACATGTTTCTGCACGCTTTGCACACCTCATGCTCCTCCCACCCACCCAGCCACCCACCTACTCACCTGTGGCACGAGCACAACGTGCTGCACCCTGCTGCCCTGCAGCAGCTGAGCCAGTGCGCCAGCTGACGGGAGCAGCAGTGGGACAGGGAGGGGTAGCGTCGGAAAAAGAGGTGAAGGCAGGGAGGCATGGGGATATAGGAGCAGAGGGGATGGAAAGAGCAGAAAAACGTGAGGTGCGAGAAACGCGAAAAAAATGCAGGGAAGAGGGCGCTGTGAGGATGTTGAGGGCGGGCGTATGAGGAAAAGGAAGGAAGCGGGGATGGGGGCCTCAGTTACGGAGGAAGGTGGAACAGCAGGTAAGAGAGGAGAGGAGGCGTGTAGATCCTAGGCTTCGGGTAAGAAGGGGGATTGAAGGAGCGGGGTGGGCCAGAGGGAAGCGGGAGTGATGTGGCTATGGGTGTTGAGCATGTGCAGCTGACAGAGGCCTACCCGCCCTATGACGACCACTGCCTGAGAGCCCCTGAGAGCCCCTGAGAGCAGCTCTCACTGCTGATTGGTCCGCCACCGACCCTGCTATGGGCTGCCGTGCATGGTGGTGGTGGGATGGCGCGGATGGATGGAGGTACGGGGATGGGGAGGCAAGGGAGAGCGAGTTACAGGTGCGACATGACACTCGGGCCTTCGGAGGCGAGCGAGAGAGGGAGAGATGCACATATTGAGGTGGAAGGCAACTACGAGCCACCTTGCGCAGTGAATGAATTTTCTCGACAGTGAAGATAGTTTCCACAAGGTGACAGGTGCTGCTTTTGGGCACCCACAAGCATACAGTAGCTCCCGTCCTTGCCTTGCGGGGCCAGCACCACCCACCCACTCACCGACCTGCAGGGGTGGGTGAGTGCACCCACCCGTCAACACCACCCACTCACCAACCCACCTGCACTAAACGTAGGGTCTGAATCCGGCAGTGGCCTCCTTGGCATCCCTCACGAGCGGCAGTGGCCTCCTTGGCATCCCTCACGAGCGGCAGTGGCCTCCTTGGCATCCCTCACGAGCGGCAGTGGCCTCCTTGGCATCCCTCACGAGCGGCAGTGGCCTCCTTGGCATCCCTCACGAGCGGCAGTGGCCTCCTTGGCATCCCTCACGAGCACGCTCATCCTCCTGCGCCAGGATGAGCTGCAGCACCGCCATCTGCCAGGTGAGGTGGGGATAGGGGGAGAAGAGGGAGGGGAGTGGAGAGGACGATGAGAGAGAATGAGAGGCAATACTGCCTCGCTGGCACCCTCACTCTGCTGCACGCTAGCATGAGCCTGAGTTGCCGCCCCACCAGCTGGTGTGGGGCGAGAATGGGAGGGGTAGGTAGGGAGAGTGGTAGTGAATGATACGTGAAGGTGGGTGGGAGAGAACCAAGTGCCAGACGGGCACAGGGATGAGCTGCGCTGCAGTGCCAGACGAGCACAGGGATGAGCTGCGTTGCAGTGCTCTCAGGCGGCCTCGCTGGCACGCTCTCGTCTCGCCCTCTTCTTTCTCCGGTGATCTGGGATGAGCTGCGCTGCAGAGCTCTCAGGCGGCCTCGCTGGCACGCTCTCGTCTTGCCCTCTTCTTTCTCCGGTGATCTGGGATGAGCTGCGCTGCAGTGCTCTCAGGCGCCCTCGCTGGCACACTCTCGTCTAGCCCTCTTCTTTCTCCGGTGATCTGGGATGAGCTGCGCTGCAGTGCTCTCAGGCGCCCTCGCTGGCACGCTCTCGTCTCGCCCTCTTCTTTCTCCGGTGATCTGGGATGAGCTGCGCTGCAGTGCTCTCAGGCGGCCTTGCTGGCACGCTCTCGTCTCGCCCTCTTCTTTCTCCGGTGATCTGGGATGAGCTGCGCTGCAGTGCTCTCAGGCGCCCTCGCTGGCACGCTCTCGTCTCGCCCTCTTCTTTCTCTGGTGATCTGGGATGAGCTGCACTACAGTGCTCTCAGGCGGCCTCGCTGGCACGCTCTCGTCTCGCCCTCTTCTTTCTCCGGTGATCTGGGATGGAGGCTTGTTAAATCGTGCTGGTTGCGACGTACAGCATGGCATGGTGGGATGAGATGCGAGAGCGCAAGGGAGGGAAAGAAGAGTTGTGAGCCGGCAGCCCTTTGCAAGAGGGTGAGGGGAACCATAGGAGTGGTGTGGGGCGGCTTTCAAGAAGCATTTGAATCATGTGGTACATTGAATGGCATCCACGCCACGCCACGGATTACCATTCAATCAACTCAACTACCCCCCCCCTCCCCTCGCCCTACACCACTTCCAGGGAAAAACTGGTGAGAGGAGAGCTATCAACATGACAGGCACCACCTGAACTGAAAACATCATCCACAGTTCAACAGTCACATGAAAATCACCTGAGCAGCAGTCACATGAAAATCACCTGAGCAGCAGTCACATGAAAATCACCTGAGCAGCAGTCACATGAAAATCACCTGCGAATCAGCTGGCCTGTGTCCGAGTCAGCATCTGTGACCAACAAAGCATCCCCTCCCCCTTCTCCCGCCTCCTCGTCCTCCTCGCCCTCTTCATCCTCCTCGCCCTCTTCGTCCTCGTCTGTGTGAAACGGAGGGTTGACAGGTGAGCGCATCGAAGCGGGTGCAGGGTCGGTGGCGGATGGGGGTGGAAGTGGGGTGGCGGTGAGTGGTGGTGAGTGGTGGTGAGTGCACAGCTGCCATGAGATGAGAGAAGCCTCGACGCCAAGAGATACATACAGATGGGCCGCGCCCAGCAAGCTAGACGCCAGTGCGACCCACATCCGCACACCCACTCCGCCCCACCCCTCTTCCTCACTCATTTCTGCCCCTCCCCGCTCCGCCCCTCCACTCCGCTCAACCGCACTGCACGCCCGTCCATCCCTCACCAGCGCCTTCCCTGGGCAGAGTGTCCACTGCGCCGTACCACCGCCTTAGCTTCGGGCCGCCTGGGATGGGATCATGAAAGCCACGCCATGCGCGCGTGGCGGGCGGGAGGGCGCGAGGTGGACGGGCAGGGGGATGAGTGGCAGATGAGAGCAGCGTGTGGAAGGGGGCCGGGGGGAAGGGGAAGAGAGTCGGAGTGTATCACTGTTGAAGATTCTTATTGCGGGGCAGAGGCGGGATTGACAGAGACTGCGTTGCTCTTTACAGCTCATGCCTGACGTCAGCTGTAGGCCTTGGCCTTGCAGGCTAGTCGGCCTTTGCTGACATGCTGACGTCAGCGGAGGAGAGTATCAAGTAAGGTTGGCATTCACCTTCCTTCCTTCCGTTAACCACAGAAATTCCTTCATGTTCGTTCAGCGCACCTTTGATATAGTCAAGAATCTGATCGCTGGGCCCTGCTTCCCCTTCCTCTGCCTCCGCCGTCCTCCCCTCCGCGCGAGCGCACACCCACGCCCGCGCTAGCCCCGCGCCGACTGACCCGACTGCACCAACTGCGCTGAATCTGCGGAGCGCCTGCGCTATATCAAAGCAGAGAAGCCTCGAAAACAGGAGCGCCAGTAACGAGCGGTCTCGCTGCAGCGGGCAGCGGCAGCGGGAGCCATAATGGGCAGAAAGCTCCTCGAAGCCCCCTGCGAGCGACAATTTCTTAGAATCCCGGAGACGGTAGGCGGAAGAAACACGTGCGGAGCGGACGGACCAAATGGCTGCCGCGTCGTGAACTTGCTAGGCGCGGGTATTGCAATTTATGCAACACAGGGCACGCATTGGCATCACTATCAAGTCTCAATACTCCTGCACAAAGCGATCCGTTCTAGTCGCTTGCCAATGAACCACTTGTACTACTTATGATGTCAGCATTTATAATTGTACGATAGTAATGATTTGAAACGACCAGCAGCTAGCAGGCTTCCAACCTACATACTTCCACATATTATTGAAAGCCTATGCGCCAAACACCCCTGAAGTAAACGGGACGGGACATTTCCTTGGCAGCAGACAAGCTCGGAACTATGTGCGGAAGGAAGCAATGCTGCCATGGCTGAGCGCAGCGCCTGGTGTTGAATCGCGCAGGTAAGGACGACAGTTGCTGCCTTGAGTGACGCAAGCACCATACGAATGTAATGTGGGCAAGGAGGATGGTTGGGAGCAGACCGACTGTTAGGGAAGCCCGCTAAACGCTTCTGCCTCAATTTGGTACAAGCGGTTGCTACTAAAAGAACAGAAACATCTCTTTTATCTTCCAAGTAAAATACCCAGGGCCATATTATAAATTCATGTAAAAGAGTGGGCGTCATGACAAAGATAATATTCAGTATACACCGTTTTGTTTGAAGTTCTGTTGGATGAAGCTGAACGTTTCATTCCGCATCAAATAAAAGTGATTTGATTGTGGCGACATGGACCAGCATGACATGACAACATGCCATGGCAAATTTCACAAATGCAACAGTGGATGGCAAACCTCTGAAAGAGGTTGTCTCGCATCCCTCCAACCCCCCTTTCTCCTTGCCACTCCATTCCAACCTTGAACAAGCCATGCCATGCCTCATGCTCCACCCACCGTGCCCTCACTGCCTTGTACTTGGCAAATGGCAAAAGAGAATCGGCAAAAACAATCGACAAGTTGACGAGATAAAAGGTGAAGGGAAGAAGCTTGAACAATGGATAACAATAGCCAATTGGCTGGGAAAATGGCCGTGATAAGATTGTATACCGTCATCGCCCGGATCAGGCCCTCAGATATCAGTGTAAAACACGCTGATTGCGCTGATTTTGTAGCTCAGATTTTCGTTTTCCCTGGAAATTCAGCATATGCTTCAATTTTGCACTGAAATTTCAGTATAACCTATTTTGTCACACTGACCATTTTGCGTGTTACCGTACAAGTAACACTGACGAATCAGTATAGTGTACCGACGGCTGGCTCGGGGAAGGACTTAATGTGGTCTCGGGGGTGCGGCAGGGTTGCCCACTTGCCCCTTACCTCTTCTTGTGTGCTGTGGAGCCGCTAGCTCAGGAGGTGGAGAGGGAGAAGCTGGGGCTCGACAAAGACGGGCAGCAGCTGAGTTACCTTGGTTATGCCGATGATACGACACTCATTCTGCAAGGGAAAGAGCAGATCATTAAGGCAGAAGAGATATTGGACAAATTTGAAAAGGCGGCAGGTTTGGCAACGAACAAAGGGAAATCGGTGGTGTTACCTCTGGGGGTTAATATCGGCGAGGCGGCGGATGGCTCGTCTGACTTCAAATGGGCCGGTGCAAATGATGCTGAACGCCTGCTGGGGGTATGGGTGTCCCCCTCGGGGAGTGGACAAAAGACATGGGAGAAAGCGCTTGGTCGTGTCGCTGAGAAGCTGGTGAAATGGAAGCAGAAGTATCTGACGACGGCGGCACGTGCATCGGTGGTAAATTTTTACATTACTCCGTTAATCGCCTTTCAGGCCCAAGTCTTCCCGCCGCCTGCAGATATCTGGGAGGATTTGGTGCGCATGCTGCACGGCTTCTTATCTGGGAACAGGGTATCAGCAGCAAAAGGTTTCTTCCTCTGGAGCAAAGTGTTGTTATACACAACGAGAGAAGCGGGCGGTATTGGAGTTAGGGACCCGGAGATCGTTATCACCTGTCTGGCGGCGAGAAGGGCGGGACTGTACTGTGAGGATCTAGGATCGAGCTCAGAAAAGAGAATTGTAATTGAATGATCGCCTGGGTACAACACGAGGCTATATATAGGCTCGACACAAGGCCCCGTAACCAGGTGTTACGCGAAGGTTCCGCGGGTCGCGAAGCGTCCCGAACAGATCCTTCCCGAATTCGGTAGAAGGCAATTCGGTGGCAACCGAAAAGCCAGAATTCGGTGCACGCAACCTAGCTCGGTGCTATAACTATAATAAAATATAGGAAAGCACCTAGCCTAGGAAATCAAGCAATTCATGCATGCATATAATTATCCTATGCTAGAAATAGCATGATAAAGTAAAGGCAAGCAAGCATAGCTGGCATAAGCCGTCGTACTCTCACACGTCCCCCCCTCAAAGCTGGGTGGCGTGAGAAACACCCTGCTTGACAAGATAGTCCTTGAGAGTACGGAGTGCGTTGCCCATATCAGCTTCTGCAACCCAACTGTCCTCAGTGGGGTCGTATCCCTTCCAGCGGATCAGGAACTCGAGGGTCTTGCCGCCGCGGCGCCGATGAGTGAGAACACGCTCCACTTCGTACTCGGGTTCATCCTGTATGAGAACAGGTGGTGGTGGCGGT